AAGCTATTTCTTGATCCGTTTAGGAGTACACTTTCCTTATTTCACTTGAAGAACTCAACGAGGTCTTTCATTAGCAGTACTTTTGTAAGTCACGCTTGCTTCTTTTCTTATCTTTTGGTTAGTATTGACCATGATGATGCATTTCTATTTTGCCACGGTCAATACTAGGACAGCATAAGAGCTACCCAAACTTCTCTTGTTATGCGGGATACGAAACATGTGAATCATCACAAAACTTCTCCTGCCATGCAGGATTGACTAGCATAAAGTACTATGCCAAATTTCTTCCCATGCGGGATAAATCTATATACAAACATGCATGCTTAATCCAACGTTGGTCAAATTAGACATGCATGTTACTTATTGCAACTCTTATCATAAAAACATTCACTTATACTTTATTTTCTAATTAAATCTTTCCATTGGTTCCAATTTAATCAAAAAATTAATAAACTAACAAAAAACAGTCCTGAACTGGCTTGACTCAAGCCTTTTCATTCACACAGCCCAGCATTGCAGTCCGTTGGTATGCAACCGAGTGATTTCGTCGGTTAAATAAACAAGGTGCTTCTACATTAATTCTACATCACCGTTGGGCAGAAAACAGAATTAATGCATAAAACTCATAAATCAACTTAAAATACATATAACTATTCTTTAAAATTAAATTCTTCCGTTAGTTCGAATTTAATTAGAACATTCTTAAGTCATTTCTTACATCACTTTATTACAGTAGTAGAATATTACCTCAATTGATTATAATTGCGGAATATAACAATGTTATCAGAGTTACAGAGGAAACAAATATTAATTTAATGATATGATGGAGTATTAACATAGTGGACATTTTTATACAAGAGGTGCTAGCAGATTTTACATCTTTTCCTATAAAAACCTTTAGTGGGGGTTATAAATAAACACTACGGTCATAGCGTGAAAGGAATCCTCTTTTTGTGCCCACCAGAAAGTTCACACACAAGAGTCAACTCTATGTATCCTCCGATCACCTGCAACTGGAGAAATAAAACCCTGAGTACTCGATGATACTCAGCAAGACTTACCCGACAGGAGGAAAATAAAAGACTACAAGGATATGCAAGGCTTATTTGGCTTGTGGGTTATTGCATCTACGGAAGCATTACTAAACGTGCATTCTTATATTCAATTTTATTAGCAGTCATTATTAGTTCATTAACTAACCATTCTATGTAAGCACCTATGTTACTTTCAAGCAGGTGGTGAGCAATCAGAACCATTTTACTATCTTTCATATTTCAGTTCTTACTACGGTGCTAGACCATAGCCAAGTCAATACCGTCTCTCAGAAATGACGATTCCCGAATCAATGTATCACAGCTGGGTACCCCGAAACACATGCCCTATTTGTACCCCAGGCACAAACAAGACCAACCCATTCCACTCCTGTCACAGGGTCCAGGTCCCCATACAAACTTGAACTCTAAGCCCCCACACTTGAGACCCGGCCTTCAGTATGGTGCTTAGACCTCCACATTTCTCCTCCTCCAATCAGTCGGTCCAGAAATAGCTAGAACCTGCGACAAGAGCGTAACGAGCCTTCCGCTCCCATAAGCAAGTATGTGCTTAGGATAATAAGTCTGTGACCTGACTAACGTCCACATCAATGGATAGTCCTCAATCGACACAGGCGGAACTAGTGCAATCTGAGCCTCGCTCAAATGCCTAACCAAGTCAACATCCAAAGTATCATTCCGTCCGGTCTCCAATTATCATTCATATATATTTCATGTGACAGTAATATAATAACAACAATAATATATTTTCTATCCCTCGCGAGTGTCAGGTAATCACTTGACTTCTACCGGATCCTATAGCATAGCAATCTACACGATCCTGACATATTAGTAGGACTCATAGGATATATATATATATATATATAAGCGGGTTTCATTCAACTCCTCAAAATTTAATGCTCAAGCATAAAATAAAGTGCAGAATATTAGAGGTTATGCACCAGGGCTTGCCTGGGCAAGATATAACCAAGGATTAGCATTCCATCGGGCGACATGATTATTAAGGCACCATCTTTTCTGCTACTTCAGTCGACTCCATGATCCATCGTTGTTCCTATTATGATATACGTGGATGCAACGTAGAGACGCAATAAATCAATGGTAACCGCAACTCTTAAAAATATGATTACGCTCTACAAGCTAATGAGCTAGCTTTAATGACTAACGTACTAGTATACGTATCCACATCGTTAAGTAAGGCTTCGCCTCCAGAAAAATGTTCTAGTTTTAAAATCTCAAGGTGTTTCGGCATTTTATTGATTAAACATATATTTTCAAACTAGGGCTCATTTAGCTACCTTAGCAAACTAATTATTCTGGTGCTACAAAAAGTATAGTGAGCACCTAATAATATGAGGAATTTATTGTGAAAGTTTCAATGCCAATACTATCACCAATTTATCACAAAAATTCCTACAAGTTTATATCTTACAATATTAAGCATCTCAAATTAATTAGATAACTCCCGAAAAAATTATAAAACTATGTGAACAAAATATACTAGCAGATAGATCATTATTTTAGGAACTTAACAAAATTAGTTTCACAATTTTTGACCAACTACACAAATTTATTTTGGATTTACAATTTTGCCTTAGAAACTAATTTAGAAAATGCTTAGAAAAAGAAAAAAGGACCGGCGGTAATCAATTCGGCCCGGCAACCCAGCGGCCCAGTGCGGGCGCGGTTGTCGCGCGTGTCGCGATGGCCCAACACGGCCTAAGCCCGGGAGGTCCACGCGCGACGGCGGCTTTGTAGAAAAGCCCCCGTGCTTTTAGATAATAACATGACTACTATGTGTACTATTCCTACCGTCAGTAATCTTGCAACTAAACCCTCGAATGTTGTCACCTTTACCACGGGGAGGTCCCTGGGGATCCCCGCGCGACTGTTCCCGTGAGCCTACGCCCTCACGGAAAGGTAGAGATGATGGAGAAGCATCAGTAGCTCACCATGGTGTACGCCCTACTGACGGTTGAAGCAGGGGAGCGCTGCGACAGTCTAGCCACGTGCGAGCCACTGGGACGGCGGTGATCCGGGATGGACACCCATGCGTCACCACGCCACTGACGAGTTCCCTGGCCAAAATAGTGCGAGCACCGGATGGAGGAAGTCAAGGCGGGTTCGGGGTTACGAGCAATTGAACTGCTATTAACCCTACGGGCCTTACCCCCAAACCTACGACTCGACGGCGCGCATGATCGGCGGCGAGCAAAATCAAAAATTGGCCGCGGCCAGGCCACCGCTGGACCCGACGAGAGTAGGGCATCTAGCTAACTTCCTCTGCTTCTCACTAACGTGAGGAATTGAGCTGGGAAGCTTTGAGTTGGTGATTATGAAGGGAAGAGGGCGGCGCATCGCCCCTGCTACATTCCGCGACACGGTCGCATCAGAAGTGACCCGACCACGACCCGACATGGTACGACAATACGAGGACATGGCCGCACGAGCGAGGGCAGGAGGCGCGTCGGGTAGTGCTAGACGGAGCCAAGAGGTGTGCCAGCGCGCGGAGCACTTGAATGCGGTAGCCGGACCCGAGCGGCTCGTCGACGTCGGCTAGCGGGACAGGGCGAAGCAGGGAGGCGCCACCGTCAGCGTGAAGCTATGGTCGGCTGACCCAGACGCGGCGAGCGGTGACACGGACTCGCGAAAGGTGAATCACAGGGCAGGGCGTTTGCCACGTAGCTATGGCGACAACGGCCCTGGCCTCGGCCCGACCCCGCACACGGATCAGCGGTCAAAATGGCGCGCGCGCACGCAGCAACGACAGCGGGGGCACCCGACAACAGCATTGCGACGACGCCTCGCCACATGACCGCTGGCGGTTGCACCGGCGAAGCGTAGCGATGGCAGCCCCCCTCGACGGCGGCAGCGATGGTGTGCGCAATAATAAGCGTGGCGAAAGCAAGGTGGGGCAAGCGGCGGCGACGACCAAAGACACTGCGGCGACGACAATGGCAACATTGGGCGGCCATGGCCAACCCACGGCCATACAGGCCGACCGGGCATCGGCACCGCGACGCGCGGAACGCGGCCAGCTGTGTGACGCCGAGCGGCCATGCGAGGTGACCATGTGCACAGGCCAGGCACATGACGTGCACGAATTTTAAAGCGAAGCAGAGGATGCCAATCGTCTCAACCGAAGTTCAACCAATCCTACTAAAACTTAAAGTCGACACTACCAGCTAGCTAGCGGAGCAATCGTCATAACCCGAGAGCAACTAGAGAGGAAGATAAAAGGATGCCAACTTAGGTTCGTCGCTGGAGTGCCGGTTCACGAACAGAGCGCCAACAACATGGTTTACAGCGCGTTCCAACGAAGTTTGAACAATTTTTACGAGAGCAACGTGACATCCAACAGAACTTCGACCTATGCCATGCTCAAACACTCACTTTGATGCAATCAACAATAGCAAAACATGCAGCTAGTGTTTAAACATTTTTGTTAGAAATTAAATGTCAAAATATCATTGTCTTACTACTTTTCCATACTTAAAAAAGTTAATGATTTCAGTTGAGGCTAAGTAACCATTAACTCTTTTGTCGCAATTTTTAATTGGTCTAAACCTTGTTAACTTCGATCAACAAATACTTCATGCAATAGTCCATACCTTATACTAACCCATAGGAGCAAAATATTTAAGCACCATTTAACTATTTCGCTCAATATAATTCATCAAAAATGGTATTTTAACAATAGTTCAAGTGTTTGCCGACTTAACGAAAATAGCTTATCTTAACGTCAAATTTGATTTTTCAGTTCCCAAGAGCACTAGTTAACACTATTTATTTTGTTTTTTCTCAACCACAAAAGTGAGTCGCATAGGATTCACTTATCATTTCACGTGCGTTATAAATTTTTAAAACCCGAAAACTTGTTTGGCTAATTCCTCTCGGACCTAAATCTCGGTGCAAAGAAAGCTCATAACACCAGGGGTGTTACACTATCTAGCCGGCCCCACAGACGACGCGTATCAGGTGTGGAAGTTTCACCCTCATGTTTTCAGGTCCCATTCTTGTGATGATGGTTATTCTCCCAGCCCTGTTTTCGGGATTCAATATATCAATCAACCGTACAAGTTCTGCTGGGTCCATCTTGTCACTAACCTGTATTACAATGGATGAGGAGAAATTTCTCAGAGAATGCCTAAACCTTGAGCTTTTCAATTTTCAAATGCAGAGGTCAAACAAGAGTTGCTAGATGTTGAGTATAATATTTACCTTGATACCAAGAGGGTTGGCAATGCCTCGAAGGAACTCCACATGAGCACCATCAAGCTGGCGAGTGCGCTCACCGACCCATAGGAAGTGGGCAGAGCAGTCATAATAGAGAGCACTGGTGGAGTCTTCGCGTGTGAGTGCTTGCTCATAAGGCAGAAGAAGGCACTCATGTGACGTCCAGAATTCTGTTGTTGTCATTATAGCGTAATCTAAAGTGAGTCCAGCAGCTGACATGAACCCCAAAGCTTCGTCAACTCGGTGAGCCAATTCCATGTACCTATTCACCACTTCCCTCATGTAAACCATGAATTGGCACAATTGAATAGCTCTTGAGTGTTATTAAGTGTGTTGCAGTCACTTCGTGCGAATCAGGATTCCTCTAGATTCAGAATAAAAAAGAACATTTCCATTTTTTGGGTAAACAAATAGCTAATCACTAAGATCATCAAGTGAACTTAAAATGCACACATCTTAGCATGAATTCCAATATTATTAAAGAAATAAGTGCATCAATCAATCGGCATGGCATGAAGGTTAATCATCATTGATTCAGGATAACCCACCTATCCCCTTGTTCACTATGCTCTGTGAAATCAAGGTTCCATTGCGTTACCCTCTGCATTGCAGCATAACCTCCAGTTGCGAACGCCCGCAACAGATTCAGCGTTGCTGCAGACTGTGAGTAGGCACTTATCATGCGGTGTGGATCTGGCAATCTTGACTTCTCATCGAATGCATCCCCATTGATATTGCCCCCTCTATAGCTTGGCAACTTCACTCCATCCCGCTCCTCAAAACCATCTGATCTTGGCTTTGCAAACTGACCTGCCATTCTTCCCACCTAAACATCCATATGCATATTATTATAGTATATACAAAGTTATCTTGACCATGGTTTAGAAATACAACCAACGCTGTTTGATTATTATATATCTTAATTCCTTGTGCCAAAGAAATGCATACCATACATTTGAAACATATTGTGTTCTGTTAAGATTAATAACAGATGTAACATGTACATTTGTTGTCCTTCCATCCATCATACCTCCATTTTTAATGGCAAACATGCAATTACTGGGGAAACATATTTGCGGAGAGGAAAAAAAGGATTTATTTAAGCTGAAAAAGAGGGCATGATGTCTAAATAATTTGATCGATCGATCGATCACAACACTAAAGCTTTGAGGCGATTTTATTTATAATACTACCTTGACGACAGGCATCTGGCCTCCGAACATGAGCACGACGGACATTTGCAGGAGGACGCGGAAGGTATCCCTGATGTTGTTAGCGTCGAACTCCTTGAAGCTCTCGGCGCAGTCACCACCCTGGAGGAGGAAGGCCCGGCCGACGGCGGCCTCCGCGAGGCGCTCCTCGAGGGTGCGCGCCTCGCCGGCGAAGACGATGGGCGGGAACGCCTCCACCGTCCGCAGCACCTCGCCCAGGTCCGCCTTGTCCGGGTACTCGGGCTGCTGCAGCGCCGGGCGGCCCCGCCAGCTCCCGACGGACCACTGGCTCGGTGGCCGCGGCGCCGCGCGGACGGCGCGGGCGCGCAGGAGCGCCCCGCGGCCGCCCCGCCCCCACCACGGCGAGGGGAGGGCCGGGTTGGGCGGCAGCGCGGGTGTGTTGATGGCGCGAGTGGCATTTTGGGGACTGCGGCGGTAGGGTTGGCGGGATGGCCGAACGGGTGCCGGAGGAAAGCTTCTGGCCCGCTGCTGGAGTCTGGAGGTGGTCGTGCTGCGTGCTCCGTGGGGGTTGGCCAGTTCAAGTAGAGAGCGTGCGCGGTATGCCTACGACCCGCAGCACGCGGCACAAATGCCAGTCATCACGGATAACGAAAGCTTTTTTGCGTACTTGGTGTCGTGTCTTGTGGTCCAATCAAGAGAAGATTGTGTATCTGAATCCTCATCTAATCATCTGCTCCAACTGGAGCAGTAGTAGAGTAGTGGTAGTAGGAAATGAAATAAAGTACGTTGATGATCTATAGTCACAATATACACATTTTGAAGGGGTAATTTTGATCATATACTAGTTGCTTGAGATTTTGGTAACAACATCCAAGACATGGCTATGGGTCATAATCACCTTCCCCGTATGTGGAAAAAATATAGGATCTTGTGTCCAGTAAGTGCAATGTGCACCTCGTAGCTACGAAGCTCTATATGAATCGAGGCACTACAAAAAAAAATGTTATATACTTGTTTTGTTCTAAAATATTGTGTGCACAGAACCATGTAGTAACATCTATTGCATTGGTAGACTCTTTTGCATTATTCTAGCTTTTTATCATAGTTCCTGTTATTTTAGCACCATGAATCACCTTTTTTTTGTTGTTGTTTGCATAGTTGATGCAACTGTGAAATGGAATTGAGAACTTACGATCATATGATGTGGATTGATTGCGCAATGTTTGTAACCATGACCTTATTTCAATTGTTATAATGAGATGTAAACAAGTTACGAAAATATACCTATGTTGAATCTTTCTGCCATAAATACCTTTTTGTCAAGTAACATACAAAAGTGAAACCCTTTAAGAAATTTTACATACAACTTTAATCATCTTCTTTTCTCCAACGATAGCAATGAAGAAAAATGCCATGAAGCCTATGGGTATTTGTGCGAGTGCCTTTTCAACCTTGGTACAACCTTGATTAGCTATCCTCTTAAACTATCTCACAAGGGGCACCATGTCCCTCTCTTTTTCTTTTACGCAGTGGATGTTTTATTCACATACACCTTTCTCACTACTATCAGCCAACTTAGACAATTTACTTTAAATTTTACCTCACTCACTTATCCACACCACGAGTCAGCCAATTTCAACCATGGACAAGAAAGTGTTTCTATTGTTTGCTTCCACTCAATCATCAAAGTTAGATATATGGAACCAAAACTTCCAAGTGTAACTCGTTAAAATCCATTTAGGAATTCTGTAGACAACTATAAAATTTGATCTACAATTCAGTATAAAAATATTAGCAACATAATTAAGTCTTGAAATCAGCAACTAAGTTCAATCTTGCATAACCACATTACAATTCTACACATAAAGTGAGCAATGCATCAACAATCAGTCTATTATCACTCCAACTAAAACACAATCACCCATCAATTTCACTAAGTCACAACTAAATCTATCTACACATAGATGTCTAATCATCTACTATCACCTATGGGCTAGGGTTTGCATATCCTGGAGAGTTGTCGAGTTGGGCGCATCGGGGTATGGTCTGTGTTAGGATTTTGTAGCGAATATTCCACTTGTCACAAGTTTGCCACTAAGCCTCAATATGAAAAGGAAAATAAAAGGCAAGTAAAGGGTCCTCTATCCTCGCCTCTTCGATTTTGGTAGGTAGCAGATGACAAGTGTCGGTGTTTCGAGTTACCATCGATGAGTAAATTTCACGTCTGGCTCGGATGGTGTGCTTAGAGGACACGAGGTTTATACTGGTTCGGGCAGAAAGTCCCTATGTCCAGTTCGTCGTTGTTGCTCGTGTTACTAGCACCGAAAGTTTATAGTATGGGTTACAAATGGGCGAGAGATGGACATGTCCCAAGTCTCTGGTGAAAGAGTGAACGGGTGTTGAGAGCTCGGTCGCTACACAGCCGTGTGCTTGTGCGTATCTGGATCGGATCTCAATGGGTCGATCGGGTCTATCCTGCTTGAATCACCTCCCCTTCATGGGACGCCCTGCTTTTTCTTTTATAGGCCAAGGGAAAGCATGGGCTACAAGCGGAGGAAAAAGGGAAGAAAGAGATAGAGAGAGGAAGGCTTCTAGGATCGTCGGGTCCTTCTTCTCCTTCACACTGGTCCCGTCGACCCTGTAGATGTCAACAGGGATGGCTCCATGTCACGGCCCTGTCCATCACTAGCACCATGCGTAGGCGTCATCTGCCGGTCATGGCGCTCTATTCTGTCCTAGCGAACGTCGTGGTGAGCTAACGCGCCTGTCAGCATTCGTACGAGGGTTTGACAGAACAGCACCGGCATGCCGGCGCGCTGTTCTTGATATGAATCCTTAGGTATGGCCCATCATGGCCACGGGTTACGTCGGGGTGTGTCGGTCTCTTCCTTGGTGTCAGAGTTTTGACCCAGGCCCATACGCTTGGACCTGGAGTGGTTGGCGGCGGTATGGGTCTTCGTCGGGCGAGACAGAGCCTGCACCCAAGGGGTCTGGCGAGGCAGGAGCCCATGGTCTTGGGGTTGGGCGAGGTGGAGCACAAACCCAAGGGTCAGGCTAGGCGGAGATCACGGCCTCGGGGTCAGGCGAGGCGGAGCCCGCGGCCTCAGGGTAGGGTGAGGTGGAGCCCGCCCCCAAAGGTCGGGCAAGGCGGAGATCACGGGCTCAGGGTCGAGCGAGGTGGAGCCTACCCTTGGAGGTCGGGCAAGATGGAGATCGCGGCCTTAGGGTCGGGCGAGGCGGAGCCCGTCCCCGGTGGTCGGGCGAGGTGTAGATCACGGCCTCGGGGTCGGGCGAGGCGGAGCCTGGCCCCGGAGGTTGGGTGAGACGGAGATCATGGCCTCGGGGTTGGGCGAGGCGGAGCCCTCCCCCAGAGGTCAGGCGAGGCGGAACCCGCCCTCGGATGTCGGGCGAGGTGGATCCCGCGCACCTGGGGGCGGTTGGAGCTGTAGGCGTGCTATTGACTGCTCGGTTGAATCAATGTTGATGACTATTAGCTCCTCCTCTTCGGGTACCCTAGTATTGGTCCCCGATAGTAGCCCCCGAGCATACGGAGGAGTAGAATACTCCTTTGGAGGCTTTTCAAAATGGGAGGACTCTGAGGGCCTTGGCCTTTTCTTATCGCCCACGGCGTGTCCTGGGGACGGCAATTCCCTTTCATCATGATCGGGCCTCTCGGGGGTATAGCCGTGAGATTTGGTGGGTCGAAAAAGGTCTTTCCTGATTTCAACCCCTACGGGGGTCTGTAATTCTACAACCGTGCATTCGGTCTCCTTGCGAGTCCAACTTTTCTCAATCCCCCGCACGTAGCAGGGGTCCGGTCGAGGGTCGGCTCGTCTTCGTGATCATCTTCCCTCAAGCGTTTTTTGATAAAAACGGAGGGGCTGAGCCGTGCCATGATTTTCCTCTATGGACGAGCCATGGTGCTTGGTGAGTTGTTAACGGGCTAGTTCGAGTGGGGCCCCGGCATTGAAAGGTCCTTGTGTGGTTTTGGTAATTGAGTGACAACCTAGGTGGACTAATTGTGTTTATGTGAGATACACAAGTGATTAGTCCGTAGGTACATGTGTGTGAGCAACATATGCCATGAAGGTGGAAATGGCTCGGAGATGTTGCAAAACTCACACATGTGATGATGAAGGAGCTCATTGCACATGAGACATGACATTGAGTCATGTGATCAAGGTGGAGAAGATCAAGACATGACTTGGCTTAATGGACCAGTTGCAAGCATGAAGGGCAAGTCGGAGGCTTTGGAGCGATGGACCGCGTGGCGGTGAAGCTTGAGCAAGACTTGGCTCCGATGGATGAAGGCAACGGTGAAAAGCAAGTGAAGTCAAGATTGATGAACCAATATGATTATGTGATGATATGAAGTGGATCATATCATTGTTGATCATGTTGGTACATGTGTTGCATCGACATTAGAGGAGATGGAATGGAATGCGAAAGGCAAAGGTATAACCTAGGGCATTTCATTTCACCGGTCATAGGTGTGTAGAGAAGTTGATGACTAGGTTTAGGATAGATGGCCATACTATCAAGAGGGGCAAACTTGTTTGCATATCGGTCATCTAGTGCCACTCGAGTGATCTAACTTTGCATCATCGCTAGGATCGAGTGGCGTGGCAAGTTGAGTGGCTAATCCTTTGGAAAATGAATGTGAAAATGCTAATACACATACACATGGTGGTGTACACTTGGTGGTGTTGGCACATTTACAAAGGAGAAGAAGTTGGAGTTGAAACGGATCAACTCGATGAAGAAACGGAGGCGAAAGGAGGTCACTGTAAATGACCAAACTCTAGCCGGTCTACGTCCGATCGTGCAGCAGCGGACACGTCTGGTCATGAATGGAGCTCTCTGAAAACGACCGGACTCCGTAGAGGTGCGTCCGGTCTAGGCACTGTGCTGCATATTTGAAGCCAGGGATTGGGCACTCTGTATTTGAAGCCAGGGATGATATGGCAGCCATCCGTTGACCAGACGCTAATAGGGTGCATCCGGTTGATACGACCGGCGCGTCCGATTGTCCTAAGTTTTGCCCAGTGAAAGGGTAACGGCTAGTTTAGCCCGTGGGGCTATAAATAGAAGGTGGTCTCGGCTATGGCTGGGGTTGAGCACCTTAGGAGACTTTGTGTCCATGCTTGAGAGTGCTTGGGAGCCCTCTAACTCACTCTAGCTTGATAGCGTTCATCTGATTGAGTGAGTGAGCGATTCTAGTGTGATTGCATCATAAGGTTGCATCAAGTGGCACTAGGTGGTCGTCTTGCAAGTCGGTGGTGCTTGTTATTCTTGGAGGTTGCCACCTCTGAGACAGGTTGGTCATGGTCTCCGTCAATGCCCGCAAGAAGCTTGTGCGGTGCTTCGGAGAAGAGCTTTGTGAGGGGTATTGTGCTCGCTCTGCGGGAGCCACGAAGAGCAACTCTAGTTGAGCGTGTCATTGAGCTACCCTCACTTTCAGGGTAGGTTCTTGCGGGCTTGGCAGGTGATGCCAATTAGCCGCCGAACCACCAAGTGAGCGGTCGACACAACAGGGATGTAGCGTGTTGGCAAGCACGTGAACCTCGGGAGAAAATTCACCGTGTCAACATTGTTCTTCTCGTTGGTTTGCAATCCCCTTATTACTTTCATATATATTGTGCTTGTGTAGTTGCTCTTGTAATTAGTTAGCTTGTGTAGCTCACTAGTTACCTTCTTGATTGTGTAGCATAGAAGTAGCTCCCTTGTGTGGCTAATTTGGCTTGTGTAACCTTGTTAGTCACATTACTTAGTTTGTGTAGCTCAGTATTTGCGCTCTCTAATTTGGCATTGGTTGCCTTGTTATTGAGCATTGCTAGTGAGCTTAGGTGGCTTTATGCTTTTGCTTACTAGCATGTGTAGGAGCTCCCTCGTTGCTTGAAATACTCATGGCGTAGGTTTGTGTGACCTTGCTTCTAGAATTGGTTAGGTGAGCTCTAGCTAGCCCGGCACCTTTGTTGCTAAATTAGGATCTTTGCATAGTGCTAGAGAACATAGATAGAGGGGTGTAGTCTTAGCTAGACTGATAGTTTTAATTCCACACTTGTTTCGGTGAGCTGACACGATTAAGTTTAAGTAACAACTATTCACCCCCCTCTAGTCGCCATCTCAACCCTACAGGCATCCCGTTCATGGGGGTTCAACTTAGGTCAGCTGGTGATCGACTCCAGATTCTCAACAGTCAATCCATATAGTTCTCAGATCCGACCGATTGGTCCCGAGGGCTCTCTACCTTTCTTTGAGAAAAAACCATAGATCGAATCCGCCCGAGGCTCGAACGTGGGCTGGGACGCCCACGGCGCTCGTGCGCCCAGGTAATAGCCGCTAGTAGGCCCATCCCTTTCCACCCCTTACTCTAAAAGTATCCGGAGCAGTTGTCAAACCCGTCGGTGGGCCA